AATAACCCTCCTTCACAAAAAACCTCCCTGCCCTGCCCGACATGCACCCAAGGACTCGTCAGGGCAGAGCGGAGCCTTATTGCACTTCTCCTTCCCTTTGCAACATAGCTGCCGAGTCATGAATCGGCGGAAAGACGTATTAATCACCCCCGAATGCCAAGAGAGCGTGGCTTTAAGCATGTCAACTTCTGTCCAAGGCTTGCACCTACCTCAGCAAAGGTGTTTACGTTTTGCAACGGGAGCAATTATGCAGACAAATCTTGCTAAACAGAAAAATAAAGCCAGCTTTCAGTCCCAATCTCTCTTTAGGTAACCTTCCCCAACCTCATGGCTGTCTTTAGATTCTCACGACTGTCGATGCTATTAAAAGAGCCTCCAAAACAGCAATATGTTTTATTTAATCATCAATGAAGAAGAAGAAAAAAAAAAAAACCAAACCAAACACCTGAGAATGTCCTAGTTTCGCCAGCCGATAACTGGCATTACCGAAGGAAATTCCAAGCTTCTGGCAGGACGCAGCTGCTCTACTTTTCAGGCTGGTTTGCTTAACTATGCTGAAAGCTCGCTGCCAGCCGAGCCTACCCTGCTGTCAAAAACCACAACGGGCACAACCCAGTAAGGAAACTGGTTTGCACAGTAATTCCCCGATGCCCCAGTAAGCAGGGAATGAACACAAGTCGCTACAAGATGCCAGACCACAGTGTTTGCTCTTGGTCACGCAGCTACACAGGCCAACAGCCCACAGTAGCCTCCATCTAGAAGGGAATAGTTATAAACCGTTTGAGGAAGATAAACGGTGGGCGGGAGGTTGAATTTCCTAGCAAGCTCTGTACTGGGAGGCGATGGGTGATTTGTAAGGACAAAACCAGCCAGGGGCTTCCCATGGCATTGAGCCTAAGGCCAGGTCACAGCTAGAGCCTCCCGTCGAAGGCAAACACACCTGCAGTTTCCTTGCTCTTCAAGAGGACTGGGAGGAAAATCCCATCCCAATGCTGCTCAGGAGGACGGAGAAAAATGCACATGAGCTGCCTCCTGCCCGCAAAGACAGAGGAACAGCCAGCCGGGAACAGGCAGCAGGGAAACGGATATCCCGACAAGGATGGAGACGTCGTACAACGGCTGGTGGCAAACAATGAAAGTCCAATTAAGGGGAAGGGGTTAGCTCATCTGCTCGCGCCACACCAGAAGAGGTTACATCCGGCAATAGAAGAGTCCTTAAAACACTTTTTCAAACTCAAATAGTCAACCGTGCCTCCCCAGGGCCTCCTGGAAGCAGCGGACTGGAAGGAAGCTTCCTAAAATATCCCTTATTAAATACTTCAGCGCATGGGGGAGAGGGACAACAGCAAAACGGAACGGAGAGGGGGGAAAACACACTCAAGAACATCTCAACTCATTTCGCTTAGTGTTCGGTGCCGAGCAGCGACGACGGAGCCAGCTGCGAGTCAGAACCACAGCGCTGAACCACCCAGCGAGGGCAGACAAGCCCGACAGCCCACGGCGAGGACCGCGGGGCACAGAAGTACAAGCCACACAGTAGCCAGAAGGAAGGCTCTGTGCTGCTCTCCCTTCTCTCCTTCCTGGTAGGGGAGAGATGGCTTTGACAAAAGCCACATTTCTGCATTCCTGGTGGCTTTGCAGGTCAGTCCCGGCGCTAAAGTCGCGGTGTGTACATCAGACAACAAGATCCTGTAATTGCAAAGTGTCAGTTGGACCTCAACATCTGAAAAACACGCTGATTAACACGAATGTCACACTGAGCGCCGCTGGACAGCTCTTCACACCCTCACACGTGCCAAACTTCCTCCGACTGCATCCTCCGACGCCAGAACCTGCAGCTTCCCCTTCCAGAAAAAAAAGACCAACAACACAGCTCTTTAATTTGCTCAACACATGTAAACTTACTCGAAGGAATCCTTCAAACCGTGCCATCATGACACCCCTCCCCAAACGAGCCCTTTACAGTCTCAGTTTCACTCCTTCCTACTCCTGTGGAGTCCACTTCTTGCAAAATATTCTGTATTTTCGCCTCTCATCCCTTCTCAATTGCCAGTAGTTGCTAAGCGAATGTGTACGGTCCTGGTTCAGAAGCCACAGCACACAGACTCAAAGCTTGCCCTCAGCAAGGAGCAAAGTATCAGGCAGCTAAAACATCCTCTAAGTTCTAACATCAGCAGCTGTTAGAACCACTATGTACTCTCCAAAACAAGAGGCTTCCTCCACACGTAGAAATGCTGGCAGAATAATACAAAACTATCATCCCCACCAAATATACATATATCACTCTCACCCCATCCAAATAACTGTTATTCCTACACGA